GACTAGTGTAATTTATTCTGGCTAAAGGAAAGCGACTGGATTTGCCCAACTGACACGCCAAACAGAGACTCGGTGGACCAGATTTGTGTGATGTAACCGGACAGGACTTGTGCGCATGTTGGAGGACACGAGCATGCGGGTGGCCTAGAGGACAATGCCAAATAGCAGACGTGGTCCGAGCTGACAGAAAAGCCAAGTGAGACCTCGGATAGTTAAGGAGTACAGACCACCCACACTGGGACCCTTAAGCAGCACCCCCTTGGTTATGCAGTCCTTCACAACAAAGTAAGTTGGATGAAACTCAAAAAAGACGTTATTGTCAGTGGCAAACCGATTAACAGACAATAATGAAACTGATAAACTAGGCACATGCAAGATATTTGACAGTTTTAGAAACTGATGGAATTGTTGCACAACCTACACTAGAAATACTCAAACCTGTATCGTTACCAACACGGAAGACATCATTGCTGGAGTAATCCTCGGAGTGTGACATCATGGTGGGATCGGGAGTTGCATGAGAACTTGCGCCAGAGTCGGGAAACCATGATGCGGCGTCCTGCGGTGGTCCGACATCCTGGCTCACGGCCAGGTTGGCCTGCGGCGGCGGTGGCTGATCGGTGTATCGCCGGAAGCAAAACACGGCGGTATGCCCGTGCGAACGACAAATCTGACAGCGAGGGGAGCCACCGCGTCCGCGACCATTTCCACCACGGCCACGACCTTGCCACTGTCCTCCCCGATTTTCGCCATAATTCTGCCGGCCTCGGTTCGCGATCATCGCCGTCGGATTTCCAGCGGCCATACCCGGCGAGAAATCATCGGAGTGGATGAAGGTTTGAGCTTGAAGATAATCAGAAAGTTGAGACGGAGTTACGGGATTACCGAAAACCGCCAAGGTGGACGCCATTGCACGGAACTCCTGCCGGAGACCCCTAATTGAAAATGTACAAGTTCTGTTCATCGAGCGACATAGGCCGGCCGGCTTGCGCGAGGTCCTAGACAAGTAACTGGGCACGGCCAAGGTATTCGGCCGGAGTTTGGTCACCTTGCCGGAGTGACTGGAATTGAGCAAGAATATTCAGACAACGCACGCGGGTAGCAAAGCCGAGTGCTGTCTCAATAGAACACCAGACTTCCCTTGCGATGGAGCGACCAACTGCTAGGTACATGACCTCCTCGGAGAGAGAGGAGATCAACAGAGACAAGATCGACTGATCTTGTTGAATCCAGGTGGAGAACGCTGGGTTGACTGCCATAGACGCTGCTTCGTCGGAGGTACTGCCGGCGACGACTGGCAGAACGGCAAGCATCGCTGGTGGACACGGCGTTCCTCCATCTACGTAGCTTAGCAATCCTTGACCCCGGAGGAATGGGACGACCTGCGTACGCCAAAAAAGATAATTTCGTGTCGTCAATTTTATTGACACAAAATGATGAGTGGAGGTGAGATGGTTGGGCGAGGTAGTTGCAGGCGGAGCCGTGGTGGCAGCACTCATGGTACGCTCAGACGAGTTCGTAGCCATGGATGAACAGGGAGAGAAAAAAGATGAATCCTAACCCTTATCTGATACCATGTAAGGGTCCGTTTGGAAAGTAGGAAAATGACTTCTGGAAAATGTTTTATGGAAAATGAGTCATTTTCCATAAAACATTTTCTTTTCCAGTGTTTGGCTACATAACTGAAAACGGTCTTTGTGTGTTTGGTTCATTTTCCAGAAAATGAGTAGGAAAATGCAAAACTAAAAAAAAAAATCACAAACTTCAATGGAATATTAAAAACATACAATTAGATATAATATAAGTGCACAAGTGCATCAGATCTCAAAATTCATTCAGATAAAACTTGGCAATTTCAGTGGCAATTTTGTTCAAGAAATCTCTGCTATTCTTGAAGTTGTACGAGGAAAAGTTGAAATCCTAGTGTTCTTCGATTTAGTCTACAGAATGGGGGAAGGGTTGAAGAATTTCGACGTAGAGAAGCTCAACCAAACGGGAAAACAAAAAAAAAATTGTAAATTTACAGCTCTCTGTATTCAATAGAGCAAGAAGCCCTTGAATCTCCGTCTCCCTCAGAAATTTCAGCTCTCTGTATTCACCTACAGAAATGGTGAAATTGATTTCCAGTGTGGACGCAGTGAAGTAGCCCTTGAACCTCCGTCTCCCTTGAAGCAGATTCGGCGGTAGGCGACGGTGACCGGACGGCGGACGCAGGGGCGGCGAGGGTAGAGTAGCGGCGGCGACAGCCCAATCGATGCAGTGGATGGGTTTCTTCCTCGCTCCGTCTTCCTCAACAGCGGGCAGAGAAATGAGATGAGTGATTTCCGTAATGGAAAATGACTTCCCCCAAAAAAAAGGGGAAGTCATTTTCCGAAAAATTGGTCTCATTTTCCATTGACTTGGCCTCATTTTCCTTTGACCATTCATTTTCCAGCCTAGCGAAACACCAAAAACCCGGAAAATGATTTCCAGAAATCATTTTCTGGATTTCCAAACAGACCCTAAATGTAATCTGTTTATGGCAGATTGAAAAGAGGGAAAGATAACAATATAAATACAGAATGTTATCCCTAACTATTAGGCTAATTGACTAATCTAATTAGACTAATTGACTAGACTAATTAAGGACTTCCTAATATAGCTAATCATACCAAGAATACAAATATATATCTTAATAGGTACCAACCTGCCAAATTCACCTGCTAAACCGCCGGCAAAAATGACCTATTATCAAACAAATGAAAAGTTTTACGCTATTGTAACTATGTATTGTACCCTTAAATAAAAATATAACCATTAAGTTTAGAAAGTTACATTTTTGGCTTCTTTCATTCCTTTTCCCATTAACTCATCTTAACCACTTGGAAAATCCTTAGAGCAAACTTGAAATTAAGTAAATGCTGAATGGAAAATAAATAGGGGGGATTTCACATAATGCACCAAATTTTTTGGTTGGAAACACTAAATAAATTCGAAGTTACATAACGTTGGAAGATTTTTTTTTTTGTTTGATTAAATGTTAATAATAATATATATAATTAAATTAACCAGCTTGGTGGGTGTGAGTGGTCGTGCATTATCGTCTCTTAAGAGAGGTCGGGAGTTTGATAGATTAGCTACCATAATAATAGCATAATTACAATTAAAGATCGTACGTGTATCGCACACGCATCGCACTGGTAATTGGACAATTATTTGCTCGAATTCAAATAAGGATAATATGAGAAAACATAATTGATCCAACCCATTTCATCAACTGCACTATATAATATTCATTGTTATAATTTATATTATATATCGATCTAAATATTTTGAAAATATTATAACAAATCCAATCTGCGCACTGGTGAAATTACAAGTTTAATCTTATACCTCAAATCAACTCATTTTTGAAATGTACCCTACAGGTAATGCCTTGTTTGGTTGCTAAATAAAATCCAAAATCAATTTCTTGTCAAAAATAAAAATTGTTAAATATATAAACCGATAAATGCCAAGAAGGAAGGAGGAGAGAATTATTACATGCAGAGCAACTACATCGTAAAAACAACCTTAAAGTATTTAGCATGTTGAGGATCTTTCGTGTTTAGATAATCATATAGATTTGAGAACCACATTAATCAAACATACCATATGTATTTTCTTAAAATTTTCGTATTATAACAATTAGTTTTACACGACAAGAAAGTGAGAACTATCTAAAAGCCATTTTACTCAAACGCCTTTTGAAAATCGATTGATAAAGTGATCACAGTGTACCAAGTATTAACCTGCCTAATTCACCCGCTAAACCGCCAGCAAAAATGACCTATTATCAAACAAATGAAAAGTTTTACGCTATTGTAACTATATATTGTTCCCTTAAATAAAAATATAACCATTAAGTTTAGAAAGTTACATATTTGGCATCTTTCATTCCTTTTCCCATTAACTCATCTTAACCACTTGGAAAATCCTTAGAGCTAACTTGAAATTAATTAAATGCTGAATGAAAAATAAATAGGGGGATTTCACATATTGCACCAAATTTTTTGGTTGGAAACACTACATAAATTCGAAGTTACATAACTAATATATATAATTAAATTAACCAGCTTGGTGGCTGTGAGTGGTTGTGCTCGTGCACTATCGTCTCTTAAGAGAGGTTGGGAGTTTGATAGCTTAATTACCATAATAATAGTATAATTACAATTAAAGATCGCGCGTGCATCGCACGAGTATCGCACACGCATCGCACGGGTAATTGGATAATTATTTGCTCAAATTCAAGCAAGGATAACATTAGAAAACATAATTGATCCAACCCATTTTATCAACTGCACTATATAATATTGAATAGTTATGCTGTGCATCTGTATGCACCATGCATGGTGCATACAGATGCAAAAACGATGTCGTTTTATTAAAAATGCGCGTCTCCCCTTAAAAAAAAAAATCAGGTTCGATTCCTAGTAACAACATTATTTTGTTTATTCATTATGGAATTTTAGTTCATGGATTATGGAATTATAGTTCATCGATTATGGAACTATAGTTCATCGATTCTGGAATTATAGTTCATCGATTCTGAAATTTTAGTTCATAGATTCTGAAATTTTAGTTCATTCATTCTGAAAATTTTAGTTCATAGATTAGATTATGGAATTATAGTTCATCAATTATGGAATTATAGTTCATCGATTATGGAATTATAGTTCATCGATTATGGAATTATAGTTTCGAACCTACTTTTTTTTTTTAAGAGGAGACGCGCGTTTTATAAAAACGACGTCGTTTTTGCATCCGTATGCACCATGCTTGGTGCATACAGATGCACAGCATAATTTGCCTATAATATTCATTGTTATAATTTATAGAGTTAATAACCAATTTGGTCCCTTAACTATAACGAAATTACCAATTTGTTCCTCGACTATCATTCTTACCCAATTAAGTCCTCCACTATGAAAATCTTACTCAATTTAGTCCTTCCGTTAAAACTTCATTCATAACTATTAAATTTAAGGACAAAAGGGTAATTCACTTCTCTATGCTTTTCTTCTACAACGTCTTTCCTCTCCTTGGTACCGAATATGGTTATGAACACAGCGAGTAGAGCAGCCGCAAGGAGGAGGAGGAAGAAGTAAGAGAAGTCAGGTTGTAAGATTTTCCCTAATATTATATATTATATATTATATATTATATATTGTTAGGAATATAGCGGAATAATGCGGAAACGAAGAATCGAAAATTGAGAATTATAGAAGTTAAATAATAGGGAAAATATATAAATGACAAATAAATTACTAAGAATGGGAAAATATATATATATATATATATATATATATATATATATATATATATTAATCTCTAAAAAAGAGAATATAAATGAAGAAATATATATATTTGCTACGTAAAGAAAGAATAGGATAAAGATGAATTCAAATTGATGTGTTACAAAGCAAATAAAACAAAGCTATTTATACATTGTAAAGGGAGAAAAATGCGCATGAATAATGGGAACATGTGCATTACGTGGGTGATGGTGCGACATGCAGTTCGTGAGTGCTGGAGCGCAAGGAGGATGGCCATGCGACGTGGATGCAGCAGAAGACTAATTCTTCATAGATTTTGAGCCACACATTTATGTCCTAACAATCTCCACCTTGGATCAAATCCACTGTGGGAATTAACAACTAGAACAGCGCGACTAAACTTAAGCACGGCTTGAACTTAGCAACAGGAAAAACCTCAGAATAGCAGGATGGATCACCATCAAATTCCTGTGTGACTGAAAGAGCATGCGCAACCATATTGGTTTCATCGTCACTAGCGTACCTAGCAGGTTTTTTAATTGTCCTCCTAGGACGATCCATAGCAATGGAATACTCTCGTTGTGGCTCGACGAGAGGTGCGATGTTAGTAGATGCATCATCTTTAGTATTATCATCAGCAATAGTAACACTATTAATAGGCCTAAACTCAAACTCCACCATCTCACCAGTACTCTGCGTCTCATCTGTACTGGGAACTTTTCCATAAGAAAATAGTGCATTTTCGTCAAAAGTGATATCTCGACTCAGAATGATTTTCTGAGAATCAGGAGACCATAGACGATACCCTTTTAACTCAGAGGCATAACCAAGGAAAATGCATTTGACAGCTCAAGGGTTTAATTTGCCTGTACTGGAATGAGCATAAGCAGGACATCCAAAAACACTTAAGATAGATTAGTCAACAGGATTACCTGACCAAACTTCTTCTGGAATTTTGAAATCAAGGGATGAATGTGGAGATCTATTTACCAAATAACATGAAGTAGAAACGGCCTCGGCCCAAAAATCACGCCGTTTCCATAACCCAGCATTAGAGAGCATACAACGAGCTCTTTCCAATAGAGTCCTGTTCAAACGTTCGGCAACACCATTCTGCTGGGGTTTACCAGGCAAGGTCTTGTGCCTGGCGATTCCATTTGCCGCACAGAAGTCATTAAAATCTTACTCACAGAACTCCAAGCCATTGTCTGTCCTGAGCTTCTTGACTTTTTTACCTATCTGAGTCTCAACAAGTATTTTCCACTTCTTGAAAATAGAAAATGCCTGATTTTATATTTCAGGAAATAGACCCAGACTTTACGAGAAAAGTCATCAATAATAGACATAAAATATCTACAGCCTCCCATAGACTGGAATTTAGTTGGTCCCCATAAGTCGGAATGTATGTATTCCAATACATCTTTGGTACGGTGTGTAGCAGTAGAGAAACTAACCCTCTTTTGTTTCCCAAAAACACAATGCTCACAAAATTGTAATTTACCCGTACTTGAACCACCAAGGAGTCCTTTCTTGCTCAGGAGATGCATGACTTTCTCACTCATATGCCCCAGACGCATATGTCATAACTGAGTGAGATCCGCATCAGACATTGATGAGGATACCGCTACTGAACCTGTCACAGTACTGCCACGCAAGACGTACAAACTTCCAGATCGAGAAGCTTTCATGAGAACAAGAGAGCCTTTTATGACTTTCAGAACTCCACCTTCAGCTATGTACTTGCACCCCAGAGATTCCAAGGTGCCCAATGATATCAGATTGCGTTTCAAATCAGGAATATACCGAACATTGGTAAGAGTCCTGATAACATTATCATGAGTTTTAATCTGAACACTTCCAATTCCACTAACCTTACATTAGGTATCATTACCCATCAAGACAACATCACCATCAACCGGTTCCAGAGAGACGAACCAGTCTTTGTGAGGACACATGTGGAATGTACAACCAGAGTCCAGAATCCACTCGGTTTCGCTCCGTTTGTAACCGGAGCTAACAGATAACATAACATCGCCTTCTGAATCACTTTCAACAACACTAGCTTCAGTGGACTTTTCTCTCTCTTGCTTGTTTTTCAACTTGAAGCATTCAGTCACATCATGACCATGCTTCTTGCAGTACTTACAGGATTTGTTGGACTTTCGTCCTTTGGACTTGGATCTAGAATTTTTATTGCTACTCTCGGTTTCAAGTGAACGACCCCTTATAGTCAAGCCTTCACCTTTGTCCTCAGACTTAATTTCAAAGTCAAACTTTTCTTTGAATAATAGGTTTGACTTAACATTGTCGAAAGTAAGGGTATCACTACTATTACCATACAGCATAATTTCTTTGAAATGCTTGTATGATTTAGGGAGAGAGACAAGCAATAAAATAGCACGATCCTCATCGTCAATTACGACATCAATATTTTCCAAGTCCAATAAAATAGAATTGAATTCATCCAAGTGAGATTTAATAGAAGTACCTTCCGTCATACGGATTGTGTACAGACGCTCCTTCAGGCGTAGTGTGTTCGCCATAGTTTTGGCCATGTAAAGCGTATCCAACTTGGACCATAAATCTGACGCAGTCGTCTCACTTACTACCTCACGTAGAACCTCTTTAGACAGGCACAAAAGAATGGTTGAACGTGCCTTGTCATCCAAATCTTCCCAATCTTCATCTGTCATTGTAGCCGGTTTCTTCTTCTTCCCAGCTAACGCTTTCTTCAAACCGTTCTGGGTTAGAACGGCTTCCATCTGTACCTTCCAGATAGAAAAGCTAATTTTCCCGTCGAACTTCTCGATATCGAACTTAGTAACAGTCGACATCTTCGAAAATAACTCTCAATTAAACCGCTCTGATACCACTTGTTAGGAATATAGCGGAAGCGAAGAATCGAAAATTGAGAATTATAGAAGTTAAATAATAGGAAAAATATATAAATGACAAATAAATTACTAAGAATGGGAAAATATAAATAAATAAATATATATATATATATATATATATATATATATATATATATATATATATATATATATATATATATATATATATATATATATATATATATATTAATCTCTAAAAAGAGAATATAAATGAAGAAATATATATATATATATATATATATATATATATATATATATATATATATATATATATATATATGTATATATATATGTAAATCAATTTATTTACTTTGTGGTTATTTGTAAATAATTTCTAATTCTATCATGAAGTTTAATTTTATGATGTAAATTTTAGATCATATTTCTTAATTTGCCCACATGGATTAAGAAAAGGAACATGATCTCTTAAATTTTTTATCATAATGATAGCAATGAATCTTATTGACTAAAACTTTAGCCTACAGGCAAGTTTTACAATCGTTATGCTATGGACCCGTGTCCAGCTAACAGTGCCGTTAATGGCACTGTTATCTTCATCTTTTTTATTTATTTATTTATTTTTTTAATTTCAGACCGCTTCGTTATAGGAGTATATGTTCATAATTTTATTACTATATGTTCATAATTGTAAGTTCATAATGTTAGAGCTCTATGTTCATAATTCAATAAATGTACATTCATACTTCCATAACTGTACATTCATAATTCCGTAACTGTACATTCATAATTCAATAACTGTAACTTCATAATTTTCGAAGCTCTATGTTCACAATTTTAGAGCTCTATGTTCATAATTTTATCACTATATGTTCATAATGTCAGAGCTCTGTGTTCATAATTCCATAACTGTATATTCATAATTGAATAATTGTACATTCATAATTTCATAACTGTACATTCATAATTTCATAACTGTACATTCATAATTCAATAACTGTAAAATCATAATTTTCGAAGCTCCATGTTCACAATTTTAGAGCTCTATGTTCATAATTTTATCACTACATGTTCATAATTGTAAGTTCATAATGTCAGAGTTCTGTGTTTATAATTTTATAACTTACATTCATAATGTCATAACTGTACATTCATAATCCCATACCTGTACATTCATAATGGCACAAACGAATAATGCCGTTAACACCTTTAACGGCGAGACAAAATCAAATTTTTTTTTTAAAACTGGAATGACACGTTTTTCTTAAAAACGACGTCGTTTTGGACTCGTGTCCACAATGCATTGTGGACACAGGTCCATGGCATAATTTGCCTGCATAAGTTTTATGTCATTTGATTCTTCAACTCATTTCATAATGGTTTCATCATAAATAACATTTTTCAGTTGGATCTAATTGAGTAAAACTTTAGCCCACATGCAAGTTTTATATCACTAGATTCTTCTAACTCTTTAATTAGTAATTGTGAAAAATATTATCATAAGGGTTTCTTAATTGGATTTAATAGAATTAAAACTTTAGCCAATAGGCAAGTTTTATGTCAATAAATCTCTCAACCCATTAGATAATAATTTTATCACAATTCTTAGAATTTATAAATTTGGCTTAATTATAATTCTAAGTTTCATCGTTTGCATTGGCAAAACATGTTTTCAGTCACTTCCCAAAATTTAGCCACTTTTATTAATTAATCCACGAATCTTGCTCGGTTCTTCGGACTAACTGTAGTAAGTTACGTGATTTGATATACATCTTTTGGATTCCATTAATAATAAAATGTATATTTTGAGCCAAATTCTAACTTGATTTTGAAAGATGTATTTTTTTTTTTAGTATGTCCAACTATGATGTGGAATTATATCTTCATTATTTAGTTGGACTTTGGAACCAAAAATTGATTATTTAGTATGTCCAACTAATGGTGGGGAATTATGTCTTCATTTGTTAGTTGGTCAATGAATCAATTATGAATATGTATATTATTAAGTTCACTTTATTACTAACTATCATATTTTGGTATTCATCGTTGGTAATAATATTAAGTTTTGGGTCTACTTCAGTATTAGACCAATTTCCATCCATGTTATAATTTACTTGGGTCATTGATGTTTATGGGCCTAATTTGAGTGATTAAGTGCTATAATTTGAGTGATTAAGTGGTCTGGTTGGACTTAATAACTAGAAGTTGTTAGTCAACCAGACTATGTGCCTAATATAATCATGGATTGATGGGATACAGGATTATGAATTAGTTAGCACATTCGGTACTCAGACTGCTCAGTAGACACCAATACACCATCTAGGGTTCTGAGTCAGGTCTGAGGCAAAACATGGCTAACGGTCTACCATTAAGAGGCAACACAACAGGAACATCAACTATGAATGGAGATCAACACGGCTACACTTCTGCTATCATACGAGGTCAGGTTTCACGTATACTATGGTTTATTATAGTTAGACTATTTAGATCTAATACAGGTTCCAAGTGAGTAGAGCCAAGATGCGAGCAATAATAACTCAGCTGTTGAATGGAAACCCGTAACTCAACAACAATGGTAGGAGAGCGGTGCGAGAAGTGGCGGACAAAATTTTGGTGAAGTTTATGAAGAAGCACAACAAGACGTAGAGAGTGGGGGCGACGACGGCTACAGTGGTGGGAGGGAACAACCGTTTGTCTTCCTTTTAGTCTTCATATTTCCCTTTTCTTTTTCTTGTTTGCACTAACACTTTCTTTTCACTTCCTTTCTACGATGCTTCGTGGTCATATTTCCATAAACTTTTAATTCATATTGAAAATGCTGATTGTTGGTATGCGAAGACGACTCATGGTTCCATATAAATATTTGTTATATATCTACAAATCATGTCTGAATAATATCATTATCATGCGTCATTTGCTTCCAAACAAATCGATGGCCCTCTCATGAGTTCAGGAGATAATTTCATTGAATTGTAGAACTGAACACAAAACAATTTTTGAAGTCCCTTTCAAAAGGATAGATGTATGTTATAGTTCTGATAGCATCAAAACAGGAAAAAAAAATTGTTTCATGATTATATTCTATGGTAGGTATGCATTCTGTTATATGTCTGTGAGTCTGTTGTAACGTTTATCCGTTACTATTATTATAACATTAGGATAAGTTATGATAATATTCAGTATTTGATATGTGGTGCAACACTAATAACCTAATAGCTAGACTACCATTATGATTAGGAGTCTGGTTAGGGTTTAGGAGACCTAAAGACAATCAACCACAATGATGGCCAGTGGTTATATAAGGTCACTAGTCCTCTCACTGCTCACATTACATACCTCATACACCATCTAGAGAGAGCTGAGTAAAGTGAGAGACAAAATACTCGTTATCTCTGCAGCAGTCCGGATCGCTCAACCGTAATAGAAACTATGGCTGGAGGTTAGTCGATCCTATGATCACATATTCTTTGGTGCATGTGATATTTTAGTCTAACAGTTGGTATCAGTCGCCATAAATAATCTCTGCCTAGTTCGTTTAATTGCATATAATATTTGCATATGTTGTATACATATTTGTATAATTCAATTACATATGGTGAATATTCTTTGGTTCGCAATTAAATTGTCTGGACTGCTGGAAATTTTAGTTTATTCCGCATTAAGAAACAAAAAAAAAAAAATTAATTAAATTGGATAATTATTTTTTATTTTTGGCCTTTTCGCTTCTTCGCCGGAAATTGCTTCTTGTTTTTCGAATTCTGGTGCTGGCTTGCGATTATTCAGATGAAGAAGATGGATGATGAATGTTTGGCTTAAGTTAATTGGGCCAGGTCTGGCCATTTGGGCCAGACCTGGGCTCATATAAAAAAAAAATTAATAATAATAATATTATTATTATTATTTTTTACTGGGCCTGTTATGGTTTTGGGTCAAGCCTGAATTGATATTTGGATTACATCAATTCATTCAGTTTAATATCATCATCATATTTGGACTTCTTCTAATTAAATTATCTAATTGGAAATTTTTTTTTATTAAGTCCATTATTAAATTATTATTCAACTTTGAATAATTATTCAGTTTTTAATTTTTCAGTTGAATTTTAATTTAATAATGTTTTTCAGTTTAAATTGTATTAAGTGTTGCAATTTAATTGTGGAGTATTTGTGAGTAATATGCATAATCTGAGCATGCTATTTATCTCCTTATTGCAATAATTATTTGACTGTTATAATTATGCCTGTAGAAAAGCATGTTCATTAAGAAAAATTTAGAGCCTTTTAGGTTTGAATTATATGTTGATTATGCATGATTTAGTGCCTTTAGGTGAATTAGTGACTTTCAGGTTAGATTATGCATATTATTACTCAATCTTCAGTCATTACTCCACTCGTGTTTTATAAAGTTCCTAAAGCACATAAAGTACATAAACAATTTGTAGTTTACCCTATTTAAAGCCTTATCCATAGGTGAAACTACACTCTTTAGATCTCTCAAATGATTTTACTTCAAAAATGAGAACACATGAATTAGGGAAGTTTCTTGGGGAGGAATACTAGTTCTATGGCTCTGGCTTAAAAGCCTTGTTGCTACTAGTCCCCTTGCGACACTACTCTGTCTAAGGAGTTGGTTTTTAACCGAGCTTCGTCTCAACCAACTTTCCTGGGAGTATACCTAAGGATTGTCTATCATATTTTGGTTTAATCTGTTTGTTTATTAGGCTTTCTTGCTAATGTGATTATGTTCTTTGGTTAATTAAAGAGTAGCCACAGCATCTTTAATTTTTCCAAAATTACATATTAAGTTTTACTCACATAAAGTTAATGCAAGAATATTGTAATTCACTCTGCGTGATATGACAAAATTTAGCCCACAGGCAATTTTGTTATATTTGTAGGGTTAATTAGGATGAAATACCATACTATGATCATAATTTGCCCACAGGGATTATGTATCGGCATATAGTTTTGGTAGTTTTGTCATTAAGAGTGGAAAAATTAAAATCGCACCCATTCCGTTTCCACCATTCAGTTTTGGTAAATTCATTATGCGTAAAAATTTAGCCCACAGGCAATTTTTATGGCATCCGAATTTATCTTCTGCATAATTTTACATTGGTAATATTATGTACTTCAGTATCTCTCTCTAATTTTTTGTGCCTCGAAAATTCTAACCAAGCATTAATTATTATTCTTTACAGCAACTCATCCTGTCACCCAAACACAAATTAATGTTCCAATCCTTAATGAAGATAATCACAAAGAGTGGAAAGATGCTATTCTCTTGCAATTAAGATTATTAGAGTTGGATTACGCTGTTCTCAATGAGGAACCCCCTGAGGTTACTGAAGATAGCACAGGCGAAGCCAAGCAGCTTCGCGCACAATGGGAGAAATCCAATGGATTATGTGTGCTCTTCATTAAGTCAAGAATTTCCAGAAAAATTCGTTTTTGCTTTGAGGACATTAAGAAAGCGAAACCCTTGCTCAAAGCTATCGATGATAACTTCATTGAATCAAAGAAAGTTTTGGCAATGACTCTAATCATGAAGTTGAGAAATTTGCGTCTTTCCACTATCAAGGGAACGCGTGAACATATTATGCAACTCAGGGACATTACGGCTCAATTAAAGGAGTTGGAAATCATTCTACCAGATGATTATTTGGTGTTTTTTGCACTTGATACCCTTCCTCAGGAGTACAATCCTTTTAAGATTTCCTACATCACACATAAAGTGGAATGGTCTATCAATGAGTTGATAACCATGTGTGCAATGGAGGAACAAAGGCTTGTGGCTAAGCTTGGGTATGTTCCATCTTCTTTTGTTTGTTTCGAATCTAATATGTCAGAAGTTAATACTAATTCTTGGTGGGTTGACTCTGGTTCAACAATCCACATTGCAAACTCTTTGCAGGATTTGACAAAATTGAGACAGCCAACGGGAACTGAGTGTAGCATCTTCTCTGGAAACAAGATTGCATCACCAGTCGAAGCTGTCGAAATTTGCAATTTAGTTTTGGACAATGGCTTTGTAATGACGTTAGAAAAGACATTTTATGTTCCTAGTTTTTCTAGGAACTTAGTTTCAGTATCTAGACTTGTACCCTTCGGATATTCTTTTGAATTTAATACCAATAATATCAAGTTATTTCATTATTATACTTGTGTTGGTACTGGTACATTGTCTAATGGTCTTTTCCGTCTTAAATTAAAGAATGATTCAGTTTACAATTCTTTACATGTTCAAAACGGCACCAAACGGTGCAGTATTAACGACAATTCCTCAATGTTGTGGCATCGGAGATTAGGTCATATCTCCCTTGAGCGTATTAAAAGGTTGGTAAAGGATGGAGTACTTTCTACTCTAGACTATACTGACTTTGAGACTTGCGTTGACTGCATTAAGGGTAAGCAGACAAACAAGTCAAAGAAAGGTGCCAACAGAAGTTCAACGTTGTTGGAAATTATTCATACTGACATATGTTGTCCTGATATGACAATACCTGGTCAGAAATATTTCACCACCTTTATTGATGACTTCTCAAGTTTTTCCTATGTGTATTTACTTCATCATAAACATGAAGCATTGGATGCCTTTAAATCATTTAAAGCTGAAGTTGAAAACCAATGTAACAGGAAAATACACATAGTTAGGTCTGATAGGGGTGGTGAATACTATGGTAGATATACTGAGAATGGACAAGCACCTGGTCCCTTTGCTAAGTTTCTTCAAGAGCATGGGATTGTTGCCCAATACACCATGCCTGGTTCTCCGGACCAAAATGGTGTAGCTGAAAGAAGAAACCGGACCCTTCTGGATATGGTGCGGAGTATGCTTAGCAACTCTAAGCTTCCTAAGTCGTTGTGGGATGAAGCACTTAAGACGGTGACGTATATATTAAACCGTGTTCCAACCAAGGCTGTCCCTAAGACACCGTTTGAGTTATTCAAAGGTTGGAAACCGAGTTTGCAACATATGCGTGTTTGGGGATGTCCATCTGAGGTGAGGATATATAACCCACACGAGAAGAAACTTGATCCAAGGACGATTAGTGCTTTCTTTATTGGATATGCACAATCTTCTAAGGGTTATAGGTTCTATTGTCCATCTCATACTACTAGGATAGTGGAATCAAGGAATGCTGAATTTCTTGAAGGTGACTTGATTAGTGGGAGTGATCGGTTTAAGGACTTAGTTCCTTCTTTCGATCATATTGACTCTCACCCTTCTACGTCATTTGGTGGTACTTATCCGCAGTGCTCCTTTAGTTCTGCCTGCAGATATACCACCTACCGTTCAGATTCCACAAACTGTTGAGGATCAGCCTTTGGAAGAACCAGTTCAGGACTTACAGCAACCGCCTGAACTAGATTTCGAACCAATGGTTGAACCAACTCAGGATATACAGCAAGATTCTGAGCCGATGCAGACTGAACCAATTCAAGAACTGCCACCAGTTCCTGAAGAGGTAGTTGACCTGCAGCCTGTGCAAGGCGGTGGAGGTCCAACCTTAAGACGGTCTACTCGGATAAGGCGATCAGCAGTTCCTAGTTATTATGTTTCGTATCTACAAGAATCTGACATAGGGGGCGAAAATGATCCTGAAACATTCTCTCGAGCCACAAATTGTACAGTCTGACTTATGGTTGGAAGCCATGAAAGATAAAATGAATTCCATGAAGGACAATGGAGTTTGGGATCTTGTTGAGTTGCCTAATGGGGCCAAGGCCATTGGTTGGAAATGAGTCTTTAAGGCTAAAAGAAACTCATTAGGCAACATTGAGAGATACAAGGCCCGGCTTGTTGCCAAGGGATTTACTCAAAAAGAAGGAATCGATTACAAGGAGACATTTTCTCCTGTATCAAAGAAAGATT